ATGTTTTTCTTACATAACTTCTTAGGGGGCTTACTTTTCCTTCCAGAAATGTAAATTCCATGAAGGTAAGAATTTCAGGAATTTTTGTCTGTTTTGTTCACTTTTATATTCTCAGTACCTAGTACATCTCATGGAATATAATAAGTACTCAATAAATGAGTACTGATGAATAAATGATTGAGTAAATAAATGTACAACTCTGAGTTTCTGGAATTATTGAGGAAACAGAAGACAGCTCACCATGTTACTTTAAAGATGACAAAGCTGATTTTAGAAATAATATTTCATTAATATTTTAAAACCTTGATTTTTAGAATTATTTTAAAAATAATCTGTTGGAAAACACAAAAAATATGAAAAAATGCAACATAACTTTTCAAATTTAATGGTCTTAACTTCTCAATGGTATATTAATATGACATATTATTTACATTAAATTGTTTCATATAAATATTTAAAAGTTCAGAGACTTCAAATTTCAGTCCTGATATGATAAACCTGGCATGAAATGGAGTATTAGATACAATTACCATTTTAGTGTTGTGCCACAAAAGTTGAAGCAAACAAAAAAAAGACTAAGGTATATAAAGTTGCGTATTTGTAGACAAGTGATATTCATTAAATACAAAATTACAGAACCTAATTTTATAGCTCTGCCATTAAAGGATGATACTAGAAACCCTATGTCTAAGATGTGAGGACTTTTATTTCTTTTCTTTGAAAATGTGAAAGTTAGGTTATAAGGAGCTGAATATCTCTGAGTGCCAATTTTTCTTAATTCAGTGGACCCATACAGACCTGAGAAATAGAAATGAAGATTGCTTTTTTCCTAGAATGTAAGGATATGCTTCATAGGTTCTAGTCTAATGGATTTATCTAAATAAATTTTTAAAAAATGCTACGGCAACACTGACTGGGAAAGTAACAGGCTGACAAATTCTACAAGATTCTTTACATGAAAGCTAAGTACTATTCTTTCCTTGAACAGGAACGACTTGCTTGAAGATGCCACCATCTTAGCCCTGCTGACCTAAAAATGACTGACAGCTCCATGAATAAAGCAGAAGTCCATAATTCACAAGGCAATCAATCAATCAGATCCATAGACATGGCTTCAAAGAGATCATGACCTACCTAACCACGCTCTCCAACAAGCTAAGTGAAAAAACAGCCTCTGTGAAACCACCTTATTAGTAACTTTCGACTATCACAAGAATATAAAAACTCTGCTTTGTATCTTCTAAACCTGGTGGGGGAAAAACAAGAAACCTGTCAAAACATGTAGGAGTACTCCATATAAATTAAAGTGCCTATAAAAAAACCCTGACTCATAGATAAAAAAAGTACCATTCATTGAGTTGTTGCTGAAATCTTTTTATACCACACATTTAGATAAACACGTTTATTTTCGTACCTTTGTTTAAACCAAGCAGCTGAGTTCTTAAAAAGCTAACACCGTGTATTCTAAAATTTTGGATTTTGATCTACTATAGATTAGGGAGCTAAGTACACTGAGATCGTTTCAAACTAATGTACTTAATAAGATAGTCTTACCTATGCCTTGAGTTAAATTAACCAGGCTCACTATCTATAGTGAATCCAAGATTGCGTATGTTCTTTCCAGTAGAATGAATTTACATTTTAGCTGAAAAGATTAACTTTATTGCTTTCTGGAAAGCTCCTCATATCTTCAGCTAACTTATCTATTCCATTAGGCATTGATTTGCCTCGCTGAACTGAGCCCTGAGCCAAGCTTCTTTGACAATAGAAAACTGGACTTTAACAGAAGAGATAACGGCCATAAGCACAAAATGTGTACATATGCAAGAGCAGTAGATGTTCAAACTGGGGCAAATAATAAATAATAAAGCTTCTCTACTTGGAAAGCTGCTGAATTCCCAAGACACATATATCTTTTATTATACATCTCCTCTGCCTATTCTTAGGGATTGCACAAACTTTAAAACAACAATAATAAAGCATTTAAAATTAAATCATATACATGCAATCAAACCAGTCTGAATATTATGACAATAGAGCCTGTACAGATGAACTGAATTAACTGCATTAAGGTTACATCTACCAATTTACTCCCATCTTCATTAACAAGAGTTATGTGACTGTTTTTCATTATAACTATAGATGACGTGTCCATGACAAAACTTGGCTCCTATAGAAAGTATTGTTATTGTCCTGTCCTCTTCAATGATTCTGGGTTGGCCACTGTCCATTCAAATAGTATATACAATTTACGACTGGGGACAGCATGCTACTGGCTTCAATTTCCCCAACAGGGTGTATTTATGAATTCTCAATCAGATAACAAGAGTCTTTAGCATATCATCTCGATAATTTCTAAGAAGCTTTAGCATAAACATTTTTCATAGTCATTTTATAAAGTTGAACCTTTATAGCCCAGTCAAAATCCCCAGTTTAACATATACAGAAGAAGACCCTTTCCTCATGCCCTGTATTTGAGAAGATCATACAGTATAAGGAGGCTTTTTGGGGAATGGTGTTAAAAATGTTGAATGAGATATTTTTCCTACCAAGACAGTTCAGCTGTAGTGCATCTCAACTTCCCAATTCACTTCCTCTCTAATTTAAATGCATTGATACCATCTATCACAAAACAGAAGGCAGGTACCTTCCTTCCATCTTTTTCTTATCTTGGTGAGGAATTATCTCCTGCTTCTCCAACAAAAGTCACTTTGTAACTAACTCCAATGTTCTAGATTTCTCCCAAGTCATCTGAAGCTGCGACAGGACACTTTTGCATCAGGTTAACACTTGCATCATGGAGCAAGAGATTTTCTTCAAATGACATAGTGATTTTGAGGCTATTTTTGTTCTTTCTTTAATTTTTATGTCATATGTCTTCACTAGCCCTTAATTACCATAATCTCTAGGGCAGCATTAGTTCTGCTCAAAAGAACATCTTGATACCTCTTTTATGAATTACCAAATATAGTAGAAGTCAATTAAAATTAGACATAGAATTATTCACAGCCAGATATATAAAGAAGCAGAAAGAGAAAACAAATAAGTCTTTACATTTTTGGTTGGTTTAACTTCATGATTCTAGCAAAGCTGAGGCTAAAATAACTTTTTTATCTTTCTACCTTAAAGAGTTTTAAAAAATAAACTCATATATTGTTAAATTGTATCAATGATTATTCCCTTTCTATTAGATTTTCTTTTTAGTTTCAATAAAATATCTTTGAGATAATTAATATTCCGTTGTGATTCTAAGAAAAAACAGATTCTTTTAAGCATCAATATTTTCCAGAAGATAAGCAAGTAAATCTCACATTTAGTTAAAGAGAATACTGGAATATTGGGATATTTATAAAAAGAGAATCACTTTTAAACACATATGATAATTACTCTATTTTAAGGGGTAGCTCAAAAAAGCTAAAATGATAAACTTTCAAATTGGTACTAAATCAATTTTATTCAACTTACTCTTTTCAATGAATTATGTATAAATATAAAAATAACGTGACATTTGGATGTTTTCAAAAGGCTCAAAATACTTCCTTCTGGAAATGCAAAACTACGGTAAATGGAAGAGTAGGAGATGTTTGGAATCATAGGCTTAAATGTGGTAGAATCTGTTTTTGTTTCTTTTTTTTTATTTTGCTTAAAAAGTGTTTCTTGTAGCTCATATTTTTAATAACATTTTTCTATGAAAAATCATCTTTTTGTGACTATATTATTATAGAATGTTATAGTTGTTCTGAAAAGGGCATAGTGAGTCCTTCCTCCCTTCTTTGAGGAAAATTTTTCTTAACTCTTTGGACTTTCTTAAGCAGAATCATAATGAGAAAGCAGAGAAGTTTGTTGCTAAAGGAAAAAAGCAATATTAAATTTTGGTTTCAACAGTGAGTCGGAGTCCTTGATAGCTTCACGTTTTGGCAAGATATTTCTTCTAAACCTGCTGAAAATACATTTTTTTTTTTTTGGCATGAAAGAGGGAACCAGAAATCAGTGGCAGAAAATATAAGACACAAGAAAAAGGGCAGAAGAAGAGAATACTGAGGCTAAAAAGAAAGCCTTTCTTGAGATATTGAAAAGGCATCACAAATTTGTTAATGTATAAAGGAAATTACTGCTTTCTTTCTTCTTTCACACAAGGATGAGTGTTTTATCTCTTCATTGATAATAAAAGCCAAACGGTGGGTATATCAATATCACAAGGGAAATATTAAATGATACTTGTATTGTCTCCTTCCAGGCTAATTGCTTTGTCCAAACACATAAGAGTATAAGCAAGGTTCAGGTTAAAGTAGAACTCAAAGTCCCCTGGTTGGAAAAAAAATGGGAATGTTTGCTCTGAAGCTGAAGTTAAGAGTTAATAGTAGAGTTTTACTAATAACTCTATTCAATACAATTAATCTTACATAGAAGTTCTAATAGAACCACACATAACTGTCTGTTAATTATCTACACAAATATTTGCTGTTTGCGATGCTTAGGCGATAGCAGCGAGAAAAGAAACTTGGCGAACCATGCTCTGATCTGGTGTGAACCTGGGGAAATGGTAGAAGATGTCCTAGGAAATCCTCGGGGAAAAGGAAGGAGATAAAAATCCAATCGCTAACAGTCAAATGAGCTCACAGTCAGGATCCAAAATAGATCACTCAAATTCATACCAGAGATGTAACTTTAATCTCTTAAGTTAAAATCCACAAAGCAATAGAGGGACACTCAGAAAAGATCTGTTAGATCAACTGAAAGAGGCTTCTACATGGTTAAATCAATTTTTATCTAAAAATAACCAGAAGGGATGGATGTATCATATGTTCCACCATATTTTATAAGCTAGCTTTCTCAGATAAGCTCCAAACTCTTAGAAATAAATCATAACCAGTAACTCTTTAAAACCTCCATCTCCCTTTTGTTTTAAGAACAGTTAGCCTATTATATGAGGATGGGCCCCATGATGATTAATGGGATTTTACTTCTACAGCAAATATGGATGTTCATGTGATTCTTACCTGTCCCCCTTTAGGCTGGTATTTGATGTTGTCTGTCGATCCAATTTTGGATTTGACATTCTTCAGGTCTGGCAGTGGTTGGTTAATAAGTCGAAGCTGCTTGGGAGTCGCGGGAGATTTTGGAGGCGTACGTATAATGGCGACTTTCTTCTCACTGGGCACCAAGATGGCAGACTTGGGGGTTCCTGGTGTGTGAGGGGTCCGGGGATAGCTAGGGGTTCCAGGAGTGCCTGGTGTGCGTGAAGAATAGCTTGGTGGGGTGCCAGGAGTGATGGCGGTGGATCCAGGGGTAGTGGGTGTTGAAGTACCACTTTTTCCAGCTCTGCGAATTGGCTCTGACCCTAAATTAACAAACAAAACCACAGTGTCAGAAAGTTCCCCCTCAAGACAGTGGTCTTCCTGCCGATTGTTAGAATCCATATTCATTACATTTCTAAAGTGTTCAGAGTATTTAAGATTACAGCAATGCCAAAAGGTGAGAACCTCCTATGCTTAGATTCATAAGCTTGGTGACATTTGATTGAACATGCATTGCTATCAATGCGAAGATCATACCTGGAATTTAGTCTTAATTCTCATTAGGAGTGTGTCAAAAAGTATTTTCTATTTATGTGACCATTAAGTCAGCCTTTAGTTGGAAAAACAGCCTGCACTGAATGTTCTTTGTGGGCTCAAATTTACTGAGGATTCCTTGAATGATATGCAGACCATTTGTTCTTTTGTGTAGCAAGTTTATTCCAAGATCCAGGTTGATATACAATATAAAACTGTGTATTTAGATCATATACTTTTGGCCTGTGTAGAAAAGTATTCAGTTCTTAATAAAAAAAAAATCAGTTCTCTCCTTAGAAAAGTGGGATGTTGTCACAATTTACTCACAGTGAATCTTGTCCCAGATTGTGTTTGCATGTATTTCCTTTATAAGAAAACTTGTCTTAGCTCTTATTTACCGAAAAAAAAAAGTAGGCTATTTTTGCACCATATTCACAAAGAATCTTGCACCAGATTGTGTTTTCTTCTATACTTTTCATTACTGGTTTGCAGTTTGGAGTCAAATCAATAATCCCTCACTGTCAAGTATTCAAGATACTGCAAGATGCATTTCTTTGCCTCAACTTGGCATTAACTTCATTTTATCATTTAATTCCTTTCCCCGTTTTCCTATGCCACATTTCTCTCATATTATCTTACAAAGCACTTTTGTGAATATCAAATATTTGATAACCAAACATACCCACATGCAATAGAGACAGCTCTTACTATTTCTAATTTAACAATGGGGACATTGAGGCTCGTTTACCCAGATGATACTAAACTCTAAGCCAGATATGATATTTAGCTTAATATTTGTTGAACTTTCTCTTAACTCTAAAAATCTTTTCTCTTAAAATAATACCAATAATAGAATATTGATTTATGTTGTTTACATTTATTATACAAATTCTTTCACTTTTAAAAGTATTTTATAAAGGGGCATGATTTTAATTTTTTACTACAGATTATGTTTACTTTGTAAAATCAACCAGTCTTCAAGAAATTTTGTAGAGGATACAGATATAACTCATTAATTTTTAAAGTCAATGAGGTAAAAGGGATCTTAAGAGTCTTAAGATGATGTAATTCATCATCAGTATAGAAAGTTCTTCTTGAGATGGGGGACAATTAATCTTTGCTTAAATATTTCCAAGGAGTGAAACTCAAGAGCACTTCTTAGAAAACTGTAGTGTGCAGACAAGGTAAGTCTACCCACTGGTCTAGGGTACGTCTTCTGGAGAAACAGAACAATTTTATTTGCTCTCTCAGTCAACAGTTTTCACATGAAAGTTGCCCTGTGTCCTTTCGGTCTTTTGGCAGAGGCAAAGCATAGGTACACTCTTCAATTGACACTATAAAATGGGATATGAGAAGAGTAAAGTGATAAACAAATAATTTTTCTTGCTTTCCACAAATATGACATTTCAAGACCAGGATAATACAACCACATTCAACTTGGCTTTTTGTAGCTTCCTGGACACAAAGTTTGTTCATGGACCAAAGTTTTGATGTCGGTCTGAGTCAGTCACCATGTCCTGAAAAATCTCTTCAGAAACCTTATTTCTTCCTCAAAAGTATTATCCATCACTTTGTTACTTTTGGATAGCTCAGGTCTTTTGGGGAGAGGGGTCATCTCTGTATTACTTGCTGCTATGCTAGCGCTGATGTCTTTCATGGGGTCTGAACAGTAGGAGTTCAACATATTTTCTTTATTAATGGTATGAGTTTGATTCAGAATTTCAGTGTGCTGAGGTGTTTTTTTCACTTTATAGAGATTGAGTTGAGGGAATATTCTGGATGTGCATAACAACTTTTACTAAAAGAAATATAATTTTCTAATAGTAAGAGTTTTTTCTTTATCCCTAGAAAATGGCTTTAAGCTTTGAAAAAGTAAAGGATGAAGGTTTTGTGTTGTATCTGGAGAATGAGCAGAAAAAAATCACAAATATTAAGAAGGTCTTAACACTGCTGTTCCATAAATATGATCAATTTTTATTATAACAAATTAGTTCTAGTCATCAAATATGACAAATTTGAGTGTTTATTTGTTCTGAAATAGAAAAGGTTAGATCTAAGTTACTAAAACAATTAAAAACATTTATGGATTACTCTATTACACTATTTTCTTATTCATCTTGTCAACTCTTAAATGACAATATCTTTCCCTCTTCTTGGGCTAAATGAACTTCCTGCATAGCATTTTCTTTAAATCTTCAATTGCTGTACAAAATGCTAGAACATTCTAGTGTGCAGTTAAGATGATAGGCAAATGGGAGGAAGCAAATTGCTTGCTCTGCTAGTTGTCCCTATGCCTTTTAGCTATAGAAATAAAACAGACCCATGTTCTTAGATTATCGGAGTATCAGTTATGTTTATTACCAAATAATACAATGCAGCATACTTATGAATGTAAGTAAAGTTAGAAGGACAAAATAGAATTGGCTCAGAACATAAAAAGTAATTTGTATACAGATCCATTTTAAAAGGCAGAGCATAATGGCTCAAACACGTGGATTTATGGAGAAAGTGCCATTTTGCTTCCATAGCAACAAATACAAGCAAAATTCAAGGTGTGCCTTTGGGGAGCATTTGGTGCCTTTATGTTGTCTCAACATCCCTGGTGTTATTGCTGATGCCTAATTCCAACTCCAGATATTTGAAGTTAAATTCTTTTCTCTGGAGATTACTAACCCTGAAATGTCTTCTTTGCTAGTTCATCTGAATACTTTATATGCGTTAAGGTGAAAAAGAGTTACAGTGATTTCCAAGTGTTCCTAGCCTGTATTTCAAAGGATGTTAATGCCTCACGAAACGGAACAGTGTAAGGCACAATTGCTGTCATTATAATAAGCACTTTCATTGTAGGCAAAAAAACAAAACAAAACGAAACACTGTTTAAGTGTCATACAAAATAGTCACACTTGAAGTGGGGCAATTATTATTAAATATTTAAAAAATAAGTCGCGAAGTCAACTACGATGTGATAGCAGTAGCGATTTCCACCACTTTGTAATGGATTTTGAACGACAGAGATGTGATTCTCCAAATGTTTCCATCATTTTGTAATAGTTTTTAAATGATAGGGATAGTATTCTCCAAGTGATTCTACAGAACAGTTCCCTAGCACTATTTCTTCCAAATAAATATTAAGAGGATAGGTTGTGAATTTATTAGTGGGCTAAAAGCCAAATTCAACCACTTACTAGCTGTGTAGTATTGGATAAGTTACTATCTTTAAAAGATCAGTTCTCTCATCAGTAGATTTAATGAGTTTTTAAATACCTAACCATAAGCATTGTTAATTAAATTGACTAAAAAAAGTGTGTTAAGATTTTAGCATCTATATGTGATCAGTAAATGGTATTTATTTTTGTGGTAATAGAAACACATTTGTGAAAATAATTTGAATTACTAGATGGTTTTGGTAGCAACGGACACATAAGTGGATAATGACTGGAACATTTTTATATTCTTTACATAAACTGTGATAATCGCCAACCAGTACATTATGAAATCAGAAGAGATCAAAGCTATTGCACAGAATGTGCTATGTTTACAGCCCCACTGGAATGCAAATTCTTAACAAATTGAGCAGGATCCTTGATTTTTGATTGTTGATTTTTTAGTTAGATTTTAGAATTTGGAATTCTAACAAAGGTTTAGCTTATATAATAGATCTATATTTAAAGAAATCCCTGGGTATTGGTTTACTCTACTGATTAAATGGATAATAAGGCAGCATGTATTCATTTATTCCATCAGTTGTTTTGACTCAACAGTTGTTTTGGACCCCTTGGTAGTCTGGATTTCTGATTCTTAGGACCAATATAATATACTTTTAATGCATGTTTTATTTGAAAATGTAAAATATAAATACATTATAAGCTACTCCACTTAAAGGATTTTTTAAAAATGATTGAAAAGGAAGCCAAACCAAAATAAACCTACTAGTGGTTCGCCGTGCTGAGGAGGAGATAGAACTGTTGAGAGAGAAGGAGTTCTCATCTCTGTCTCCCGATACACCCCGGCGAGGAGGCAGAATGGAGGACGGTCTCGGCAGAGAAGAGCGCTTTTCTGGGCTCTTGGTTACTCCATCCTGATTGGGGAAAACGAAATAATGTTGGGTTCTTGTGAATCTTCGTTTTAATGATATAAAGTGATTACATTGCTCTGGCTAATTTTTCCTCCTGTGCTTATAGATGAATTTCTTTTAAAACATCCTACTGAATTTGATATACTTAGAAGCATTTCTGCTTCAAAACTTGGAGTTTCGATTTGCCTAGAGGTTTTATAAAAATATATTACTTTGGAGTTAGTGCCAAAAATTGATTGTGAAATTCAAATTCTAGATGATAACATGAGTAAAATGAATGTACTCAGTTAAGTTTTCTGTAATTAGTAATCTTACTGAAAAACCTTCATCAGCATGATAAAGTACGAATCAGAAAGGGCTGGCAGTAGGGCACTGTATGCAAATTCAACCACTTATTTAATGGTGGCTACTCCCATGTACTGTGCACTTATGTGACAGGAACGCTAAGCACTTTACATACTTTTATAATTTAATCTTTACCAAGAAAATATTATATTTACTTTAGAGCTGAGGAAACAGGTTTCATCAGTTGACATAATTTTTCCACGATCACCGAGTTCGTGGATAGCAGAATTAGCATGACATCCTGATGTGTCTGACGCTGAGTCCAAATTATTTATTATATTATGTATAATATAATTTAGTGTTATTAGAGTATACAATATTGTATATATGTAATATTACATAATATATTTTATTTGTATGCTTATTAAATATCAAATAAATAGTAAATTAATTATGCATGGTATACTTTAGAAAAAGACATTTTCTATTTTTTAATGATTAAACTATTCATAACTATTGAAACATTCAATTTGTCTTTGTTTTTAATAAGGTCTGTTGTTTGTATGTCAAACACTTTAGAACTGAAAGCTTCTGCTTTCATACAGGTACTGAATTGCATCCTATACCCTTCTCCCAAATTATGTTCCTTTCTGCACCTTTGATTGACTTGCTGCCTTACCTTGTTCCCTGATTCTGAGTATGGCAAACGGTCTGTGGAGCCCGCTGAGCTGGGCTGTATTAATAAACTGTCAGAAAATGTAGCCCTTTTAGTCGTACTAGGGCTGGCTGAGCTGCATCGTGGGGACTTTGTGCTACCCTGTAAGGCAGGAATCTTTGACAAGGTAGAATTCTAGCCATGAAAGAAAACAAACAAAAGCACAAAATAAACCAAACTATGAAGCAAAAGGAAAATTAAAAAAACACATAGACATATAAGAAATTAAATGACTACTTTTAATCAGAACACATGATAAGTGGTTATAACCAATGATAGAGATGTATATTTATGTGAGAACAAGAGATTTTCACTGAACTCTTTTTAACTAGAACTAACTTAAGAATACTCATATAGTGAGACTATAGATTAAAATATTACTTATAAATTCTATGCATAAGGTCTCTGATTAACCCATAGGTCTTATAATGATACCAATACCTTGAGAGTCTATTGGAATTATTCTTTTACTAAACACAGCCCTTAAATGGTATGTATAATCGATATTTTGATTGCATTTCAAGAACTTTAGAACAAAGTATATTTAAGGCCTAATAATGGAAAATACTTTTCTAAGCTGAGAAATTGTGTTTTCAGATTATCTACCCTGATTTCATTAGAAAATTGCAGATTTTATATATAATGAGTTCATTTTATGAGTAAGAGGCATACCAGAGACCAAGTTATACCATAGAATAACATTTTTATGTATAGACTACAGTTTGTATAATGTGTTGTAAGTTCTAAAAATGAAAGTTAGCACTGAATAGATTGCCCATAAAAACCACAGGACTTATCTTACAGGTGTTGATAATGCCTGGGGAAACTGTTGACAAGTCCAAGTGTAAGTGGGTTGAATGTATATATACGGCTTTTGGAGAAAGCTAGGCTGGAATGCCACACATCTCATGGGAGACTGTTAAAAATACAGACAAGTATGGCAAAGCTGAGGAGATTTTACCTTCCAATAATTAAAATGATTTAGTTGTTACAAAAACAGAAATTGAATCTAAGATTTTTGTCTCCTTTTTAACTCCAAAGCCACTTCAATAGAGGCATCAGTATTCACAGATTGCACAAATCACTTTTGGTTTTACAGACCCAGCACCTTGAGTGGGAAATGTAACTGGGTCACCGCAGGTCATTCTTTTTTGATTGATGCTACCCACAAAACCGCGAATTTCAAGTGTGGTATAGGAAAGAAAAATACAGTAACTGGATTGCTTCAAATTATGAAAGACAACTACTAATCTCTTGCTATAAAACAAACACAAGATAAAATGAACAAACAAACAAACCCAAATGAAACAAAGGATTATAGATCCGGTTCACAATAAAGATCAATTAAAAAATCAGAGAGAACTGTACTGATGGATGAACTGAGTATCAGAGATAAACAAGGTTTTAGGAAACATAGGAGGAGGATCAGGTTACAAGGAAAAATGAGGAAAAAAGCTGGAAAGAATGGTGGTCTAGTCTCTCCAGAAGGATGAGATGGGCATTTACAGGGGAAAAAAAAGTTAGTTTCGTGTCAGATGCATATGGTTTCTGTCTGAGGTGTAAGCACTGAATGCTTAATTCTTCTTTAGTTACTTGAAGACCAAGGGACTTGAAATTTCCCAAAGGTTTTTCAAACAAGGTACACTTAAAAATTCCTTTCCTAACCACTATTTTAATAATAATAATAATAATAATAATAATAATAATAATAATAATAATAACAATAACAACAACTATTCTGTTTATTGAATAAATACTATGTTCTAAGCACTATAGAGTGTACTGTTTTATAAAATTATCATATTTAATGTTCATAACTCACTTATGATACAGGAATTTTTACTCCTCCCCTTATTTTCAAAAAATTAAGACACAGGAAGGAAAAGATCATATAGCTAATAAATGTTCAAAATTTGGACCTAGTCTATTTCACAGCCATGCTCTTAACCAACACAAACTACTAGCTCCCCATCAGAAACAGAAGGTAAAGAGTACAAACCTTGAAACAACAGTGTGGTCAAAATAAAGGCGACAATTACCAAAGCAATAAATTGATTCTATTGCTTGCCATATGTTCAGGAATATGTTTGAAAAAAATATATATATAGATCAAATATACATATATATATTTATCAATATAAAGTCCCTTGGGTTCAAGATGATATAAAAGGTTTGGCTGTCATTGAAAATGGATTCCTATTTTTCACAATAAAAAGCAGAAGTCTAAAATTTTATCAGTTTTTAAAAAGCTAAACAAATAATAATGATGTACATAACATATATGATGGCTAAGACCCAGAACATTGTGATACATTACTAATTAACATCACTCAATTTATTTGTTGTAATTTTAGGATTTCATTAGTAGTCTTTTAAGTTTTTTCTTTCAGTGAGAAAGAAGTAACATATTTCGTGCTGACTTTGGTCTTTCAAAAGTTTTAAAAACATAATTAATAATATAAAAAATAAAATTTACAAGACAAGAAGTATAAAAGACTTACAAACATAGAAGAAGCTAAACATTAATACAATCAAATTAAAACAATAAAAAATTTCATCTCCATAACTTGGCAAATATAGAAAAGATATAGGAATATCTAGTAATAATGATGAACACAGGCATGTTCATTTACAGCTAGAGGACATAAAAGTTCATATGCAGCTGGAGAACCTTTCTAGAGGACAATTTGATAATATGTAGCAAAAACTTTAAATATGGACTTTCTTCTTTAAACAATGATTTTTCCTTAGAAAATTATTCCTAAGGAAATGCATATGGATACATTCATAGGTTTAGCCAAAAGATTTCTACAGTAATATTGCTAAAATAATAGAAAAGCAGTTTGAATGTCAAATAAAGGAAATTGATTAAGTATATCATCATAAAAAAGTAAAATGCATATTATGTAGTCACTAAAATGATGTACAAGAATTGTTTAATGACATGGAAATCTTTTTACTGTTTAATTGAAAAACTGATACACAGTATTTTCATCTTTGTTATTAAACGTATAAATGTGTAGAAAAAATTAAAAGATTTTACATCAAAATGGTAACTGCAATTATCTTTAGATAAGGATAATAAATAATACATTACTTATTTTTGCTCATATACACTGTTTTTCTCATATTCTTAAATGTTGTAAAATATAGTTGTGTTGATCATAATGGTTTATCTTGATTCTATGAAAAGTAAATAAATTGGGCTCCCCAATTAGCCAGATCATTGTATTGTTTCATATGTTTTTGTCTTACTAACAAAGAGGCAGCCTACATCCCAGCTCTGCCCTCACCAACCACCATCACATTCCAAAAGATACTAGGACATGCTTACACTGAGAATCCTTCTGGGTGAGTGAATGATTTAAAATGATTTAAAAGAGTAAACCTCTAAAGTCTAAGTTATATCTAAAATTATTAAAACATTGCCACTAATACCAAAGAGAACTTCAAATGAAGAACAAGGAAAAGGTTATTTTACTCACAGAGACTTTGTCCTTTGCCTGTTTAAATACACTGGGAGCCTGAGCTGATTCACCACCTGCTGCTGTTGAAAGAGAAGATACAAACAAACAACCCCAAACTTAGTGGCTAAAGACCTTGGAAGTACATTTATAACACCTTTCGGATATTTAGTTGTGTCAACAAATGCAAAACGGATTTTGCTTATACTGAGACTCAAATTCAGTAACTAAAGAAATCTGAATAATAATATAATAGGATGTGGCTCCCACTATAGCATGTGCTAATTAACACAACCTGGTGTTTACCAGAGCACAGGTAAGCACACCAAGTCATTTTCCATCTGTTACCACTGTACCTTCTTATTACTATAGATACAGATAGATCCTTTGGAATGGAAATCACAGAACAGTAATCTGAATGCTGCAGAATTTAAGGAAAAGGAGAGTGACTGGTTGCTGGGGTTGTCATCATATAAAGAGTATTCACGGAGATTCCCAAACTCTCTTTATGTAGCCACTGGCATACCTACGGACATTTCTGCATTTTATACTCTAAACTGTCACATGTGCCAACCCCTTTCCCTCTGCACCCCTTCATTTCACAATATGAATGACACATTTGCTTGATGGGAAACGCACCATGTAAGAAGGTAAAGGAAGAAAAATAGCTTGTCAAGAAAAGAAAACATGAGAGGAATTTTAAGTTCAGTAATATAGAATATGTTTTACACATGCACTTCCTGGAGGAAATTATGACCACATCTGTTACTGTTGTTTCTCTTCGTGCTGTTTTATACCTCTGGTTTCAATTTTCAACTCCACCACCTCTATCAATAATTTCTGTTGACAACTTTCCTGACCTGACTTAAGTATCTTTCATGATTGAACATAACCATTTGTGTTTTGGAAAACCATCCTTATTTAAAAATTGGGCTTAGAAAATAAAAGGCATAAGCTCCACCTTCGTTTTCTTTCACAAGAGAAAAACCCTTAGAAAAAAAGTGTTTACCCTTATAAGCACTCCAAATGAGTTTCAAAAAGGTTTCTTAGGTCATATGCAGTTTAACACAAAATAATGGTCTACGATATGCTCTATGCAATTTAGGACTGGCTAGTAAGAGTATTCATGATTCTGAAACTAATTTTTTTAAAGAAGTATCATGAATGATGCCTCTTTACTGCTTTTATACTACATCTCACGTTTCTGTGACAAGGATACTTCGCTGTAAGCCAATGGCACTCTTGTTTGATACATGCTCTCTGTTTGAGTATCTTAATATTTGAAAAGAAAAAAGCGAGGATCCTAATTAGACCAAAGCTCTTAAATTTCCTTTAATGAATGAATTAAAAAGGCAGTATACTCTCAGTGTGGCAAACTGAATACCAATGACACACAGGCACTTCACCAAACCATTTGATATTTCTTCTGATATTGTACAATCTTAATATATTTTTCACCTTTTCAGGTGGTATATAGGATTTTTATGCCCAAACCAAGAGATTCTACCTGTGCAATCATTTGTCTAACTAGAAGAAACATTCCAAGTTCAGTGAAAATGTACTAAGATGGGCTATAAGATTTAGAGATGTCATGTTAATCCTTAACTCTTAACTTAGAGGAACTCCTCACTCTAAACTTTCATCATCAAAGTTTGTTTATAATTACAAGCCTTCCACTTTCAAATCCTGCCTTAACACACTAGATCTTGGGAAAAAAAGCACATGAAATGATTCCTATATGAAGAACACAAATAAAAATACTTGAAATATTTAGTGGCTACCATCGATTGCCTTGATTTTCTTTCTCTTCCAAGGGTTAATGCTGCTCTTAACCCTTTAAAGCCATCCAAAGATTTACATAAAGGCACTTCTAATGTATAATGGGAAGGAAAATATTCCTTTCTGATTTAGCAATCTGAATATCTTCTTTTGTAGACTCCAAGTGTGCCCCATAATCAATGCTAAAATGAAATATATTCTAAATTAAGATTATCCTACTATAACTGTACATTAAAATAAATGCTTTGCCCTGAAATTTAGGAATAGAGTTTGCATTATAGATATTATGTATGGGCTTTCATTATAGTTTGTACCATGTTTCACTCCTTCATGCTACTACTTTTGTAAACAGTAAAAAACAGGTATATTTGAAGAAGACAGAACAATAAGAAGGTAGCAAAATAGAAATAAACCACATTCTAAGATATTTAGAGGGAAGGAGTTTTATCCTAGAATTCTGAATACTAAATTATATAGGGAGATATAGCAGTTTGGATCCAACATATTTTAAAAAATCCCATGGATAAAATGTCAGTTAAGAGATACAATAACATCGTTTGAAAGCCTGGCTAATTTGGGATATGAAAAATAAAATCTGATGGGATTACTAGACAATTTCATTTTCCTTTATTTTTTCCCCTTTCATCCAAAAGCAAAATAACTCCAACCACAATTTTACCCCAGATTTGCTTTGCATTTTCCATCTCAAAATCACTCTGCATTCTTGGTGGTTCTCAGGAAATTTATCAACATCAGTAACAGATTTGGCAGTAACAATATAGAAAATAGGACAAGTACGTACATATGGGTTGAAGCACGAGGGAGATAAATAAGCAAAATAATGAGAATGCATACCACGGTTATATTCATCGCCATCATCTAACCAAACACACAGAATGAAAATAGGAATCCCCAGAACGTGACACTAGAGCACAATGCCAAGATACAATCACTGTTAAGTCTGAGCATGACAAAGAAACAGATGGTCATGACCTCTTCTGCAGGGAGGGAAGGAAAAAAAAGAAGAATGATACAAGACACTTAATAGCGAAATTGTTCATGACTGCTGAGATTCTTGGAAGAAAAACAAAATGAAGCTGCCACAGTAATGAGGTTAAAAAAAAAACACGTGTCTATGTTTGCCAGCCACATTGCAGAATTGAACAGTCACCTGTCGTTTTCCGCTTAACACAGGAGAGATGAGTTGGTCTAGTATATTTGATAGCAGGTTTTAAAATGAATTTCCTGGAGGGAGAGTGGGCCTGAACTTCTGTTTTTTTAGCAAGTTCAGCCTTCTTATAAACTGCTATGAATGAGAAAACACAAAAAGCATACCATCAGGAAAAAAATGAACACTTGGAGCAAAACCAAACGAAATTTCATCAATAGTTACCACGATTATGCAGTTTCTTCTACAAAAGAGTAATAATGAACTATTTCAAAAACATTTTCTTAAAGAAGTGATTGTGAAATGAACCTTTTTTCCTTCTCACTTCATCTCTGGAGACTGTGCTAGGTTCCTTTTTAGCTATTTTTCTTTCAGGAGTGGAAATTCTGCCTCTCCCGGTTTTAAAGGGCTTTTCTTTTCTATGTTTCTCAAGAGATGGTCTCCGAGCTTCCTTTTCAGCTTTCTCCTCTTTAGGAATAGTTTCTAACTGTTCTGTCATGATGCTCCGATCATCATCTGCGGATCAAAGCAAACCATGACAACAACAACAACAGTGACATCATTAGTAACAAATGTACAACATCCTTCATCTAGTTAACAAAGTGCAAAATCAAGAAACAAAGGGACATTGTAAAATATTTAAAACAAAAAAAATTCCTTTAGGTTACTGGGTTTTATTTGAAAGAAAATTTAAAAAAAGATTGCACACCTTGAGTGTCCACCCAGAGGCTGTCCGCATCCATGATGGAGTCATCAATAGTGGTCTCGTCTTTGTAATCGTCATAGGTTTCTGTCTTGTATTCTGAGAGTGCAACCTCTTCTCTCTCTGGGGAAGCCGGAGCCTCTGGGGAGCCCTCCTTGGGTTCAGCCTGGGCTTCAGCTGCCTCTTCGACTTCCAGCTCTTCTTCGGCACGGGGGGATGGCCTCCTCTCCACCTCAGGCTGCTCCAGGGCTGCAAAACGCACGCTGTGGGAGCCCGACTCCCCTTCATCAGTTGTGGTTTGCACTACAGTGATGAAATCGTCCTCGATTGTTACAACGGACTCAATCACTCCTTTGTGCTCACCTGGGCACGTCTCCACAAACTCCTCCCTGACACCTGGGACGCCCAGGTCGGTAATCTGAAGGGTGTCTGAGCGGAAGAGCAGCTTATCGTATTCTCCCTGGGCTTCTATCTCTTCTTCCTCGCTCGGAGCCTCTGCTGGTTCCGCTCTGGCGGCTTCTGGCAATGGCTCTGCAGCATCGGAGGGGGTGACAGATATATCTGGGGTCTCTTTGCTTTCTTCTTTTGGCGGCTGAATAAATTCCATCTGGACATCGGCTTTCTCATCTGAGGCTAAATCAGCTTCTGAAACAGCAGGTGCACAGGGAATCTCCACAGACAATTTGATGGCAATCTCGTCTTGAATTAGAGAAGATTCTGGGGAAGTTTCCTTCTTGCCCTCATCAGCTTTCAAGGACTCCATGGTGAGGCTTTCATGCTCACCGCTGGACTCGTAGGATTCTTCTTTGTCTACCGCCTCCTGGTGCACCAGGTCAGGCTTGGCCACCTTCTCCTTGACTTCTGTCTCACTAACTTTGATGCCTTCTTTCACGTGGCCAGACTCAACTCCCATAAACGCATCTGCCTCCTGAGGTGCTGCAGATGAAGGCGTGAGGTCCTGGGTAGCCTCAAGTTTCAGCTCTGTTGCTTTTCCCGCATCTACGTTTAGCCCTGAGGCCATTTGTCCAAAGTCACTGATTTTAACATCTAATTGACCCTGGTCAGCTTTCTTTGCAGCAAAATCTAGTTCTGGTTCAGCTTTTTTAGATGGTTCAACCTCAGCTGCCTCTGGCACTGAACTAAGAACTTTCTCCACTTTCTCAGCCACGAGAGGTGATGCATCTTTTGATACAGTCAGTTCTTTGGCTGACAATTCCTGGAGGGTTACTCCTAACCCAAAAGTTTCAACTTTATCCCCCGCCTCTTCCATTTCCTTGTCATGTTCTTTTGAATCAGCATGTTCTTCGCTTTTTTCCAGCACAGTATCCAGCTTATCATTAGCTTTCCTCTCCTGATCAGGCTCCCTACCCAGTCCCGATTTGTCACCAGGGATATGTGGGGATGTGTCTTTCTCAGCACTGAACTCATCTTTGACTCTTCCAGCAGCTGCCAGTTTGACTTCAATCAATGAAAGATCTGTGGCCAAATCTCTCCGCACTTTATCATCAGTGCCTTCATAAAAGGACCCACTCTCCCCAGATAAATTCTCACTGTCTTGGACAGGTGATGGGAGTGGGACTGTGTATTTATTGAATACACAGTAGCCCAGGTCCTCAAGCTGACTGTCAGTTTTAACAATGACATGGTTCTCATCAGTGACGGGGGGCAAGCCAGTGCTGCTCTCCTCCACCACAGTCTCTGATGGGACAGACTTCCTTCTGGCAACCTCGGCATCTGCACTCACAGAAGCTAATCTTGACCTTGTGCCTGCCAGGTCCAGCATTTCAGGCAGGTCAGGGGCCATGACAGTGCCATTTTTGTAATAATCTTTGGCTAGGAAAGGTGACTCACACGTTGTCTCCACTTGGGTACTTTCCTCTCCTGGAGCTTTCTCTCCCTCTATCTGCTCTTTTTCTTCTTTGCTTTCTGTTGGGAAGCAAGGGGCTTTGTCCACTGCAGGCGTTGTGGCTGGAAGGTAATCGTCCCCTTCGTCCATGCTTCCACTAGTGTTGGTTAGAATATCAGAGGCCAGTGGAGAAAGATCATGCCCCCGACCAAAGTTAAATCCAAGGGCGATAGAATCCAGGCAAGACATGGGCAAATTGATTGACATGCTTCTTTGTTCAATTGCAGACCTACCACCAAGTCCTAAACTCCTGCTTAGTGTCAAATCATCCTTATTCTTACTGTGGAGATCCCTTTTCTCCCCATACACTTTTGGATCAATAGTGAACATTCTTTCTTGAGGAGAACTGGGTTCTTCAGGCAACTCAGATGGATAACTTTGTGCAAGAGTGCTATACCCTGCCTCTTGTGCTAGAACGCTGGGCTGGGATTCTCTATCTGCCGGAAGACCCTTGTCGCCATTTTTATATGTGGGAGACACGGTATCAAAAGACTCTTGGGCACTTTCTCTTGTGTCGCTCAGTTCATAGTAATCACTGCCTGGCTGGATGCTTTTTGTCACTTCTTCTTTCAAAGCAGATGTTTCAAAGTACTTGGACATTCCTGACTTATCTTCATAAAATGGCATGTCAAGCTCAGCTGATGTCACAGCTCCAACGGCTTCAACTTTACTGTCTTTGTCAGCAACTTTTTCTTCAAAAGGCTCCTGGGCTGCACTCTTTTCACTCAGTACAGCTGGTTCGGTCATGACTGTCTCCAGTGTCTTATAGGTCATGGTTGAATCAGTAACTGCTTGCTCTAAACTTACAGGGAATGAGTCCTGTTTTGGTATATCTGTGGTAGGTTCCTGGCCTTTCTGGTCTACTTTTGAGTAAGTGTGCTCTGTGGAGGGCTGAATTACACCTATTTCTTCATCTGTCAATTTTGGGGGTTCGCTCTCTTTAGGTGTGGCTTCTTTGTCAGATACGGTAGGTTTTTCTTCGAGTTTTAGGTGAGGTTCCTTTTCAGTAAGTGTAGGTTCCTGTCCAATGAGGGTGGGAGTCTCTTTTATCTGCATACTCTCTTGCTTTATTGCCCCTTTCTCTTCTAAAACTCTCTCTGGGACACATTCTTCCACAATTGAAATGTGAGCATCTTTGGGTGAGGTAATTGCCTCTGAGGCTGGTGTTTCTGTCATTTTGTCAGGTTGATCCTTCTGAAGCTCTTCAACTTTAGAACTATCTTTGGTTGTCCCTAGGATACCAGTTTCTTCCAGAGATCTTTTGTCATCCAGCTGTAATAGGGCAGGGGCAAAGGGTGATGCTTCTGCAATGACTTCATCCTTCACAACACCTAAAGGAAGAGTGAAGCTTCCACCCTGAAAGGGACTTGGCATGGGAGAATCAAATTGTTTCCCTTCCCATTTTGGGATATCCTCCAGTACGTCTTTTTCCTTCATGGGTGTTAGGGGGCAAGGAGATACTGGAGCAACTAAACCCCACTCATCCTTTTTGGCTTCCACTGGCATTTGGATGAACCAGTCCTTTTGCTCTTTTGCAGCTGGGGGCTCTGCAGGAAGGCCAATATCAGGTACCCCTAGGCTTGGTTCTGTCTTCTGTTTCATATCTTCTAGGCTGGCTTCGAAACTGTGCCCAAACAGAGTGGGTGGTGCTTGCTCTTCTCCTGTGCCTTGCATGTCCTTTTTTTCGGGGGAAGTTTCAGTTGTCTCAGGTTGAGAAACTAAGGCAGCATGTTTAAGGTCTTCACCAGGCTTACTTTCTTTCTCTGACTCCTTTTCCTTCTTGTCTAATGGCTCGGCTGGAGAGGGAGTCAATTCCTGTTGATCTGGGAACTCCATCTTCGAGGCTGTAAGTAAACCTGAAGTAATTGGGTTGATTTTTAAACAAATAATAGGCAAGTGCTTTCAGGCAATAAGCTTAAAATTGTATTTTGAAATGACAAATGAATGGTAGGGTATAAAGAAAAACTATGAAACATGCAAGCATGCTACTCATCTAAACATCAATATGAAAATGTCAGGACTGAGATTTATTTGTATGATTGCTAAAATGAATTGCCATCGTGAATTAATGTGTACAGGAATTGTAATAAGAGTACATTTTGAGTAATCTTTTTTTCTTTGTTTGGTCTCTCTAAACAGTATGTGATGTGTACCATAGTAGAAAAAAATTTCACGTGCCTTCTAAAAATTACAAATTAAAGAATACTGAATATATAACCAATGTCAGGGTACAAAAAATCTATATACTAATCTAAATATGGAAAAGAATTGAATTCTACTGCAATCAATGAAGCATTTGTTTTCTCATTTAAAAGTGAATCGGCAGGCCATGGGCAGAAGCCAATTAATTTATAATAATATGTGTTAAATAGTTTCAGTTAACTTGATCAACAAATGCCAGGACCAATTTTCTGGGCACTGAAAGGTTACTAGAATAAAGTTTTAGAAGTCATCAGAAATTAAACGTCATTAATACAAATAAATGTTATTGACTTTATATGATATGACCTAAATATTGACAAGTCAATTTCTACCACATCTCAAAATTCTTAAGTCCTAATCATTACTTAGTGTGTATGGTAGATGTGAGAAAATCTGAATATACTATTAATACTGGGAAGTCATGTGAGTAACATGATTTTAAAAAGACATTAAAATATCTTTCTCTCCTTGAAATGACCTCATTCCTTGGAACATGACCAACTAGTGAAGCACTGACCAGTCCTGGCTTTGGAGATGCTTCACAGAAATTAAATGACTCTTTTAAATTTTAATCTGTTCATCAATCCAAAAGGCTTCAGAGTCTCACTTGTCTCTTAACGTCAAAGTTATTTCATTGTGGTCACTAAGGCTAAATGTAGTTATCCGAAAAAGATTTGGGGGAAAATAATAAAATTCAATCATCTCTTAAAGAGCAAGTGTATGGGTCATCATTATCTTAGATACTTGTGTGTCCTGTTGTCACAACAGAAAGGAAATATCTTATGAACTTTGTAGCAAAGGTTAGATGAATGAAAACTCAAGAGATATGGCGATGATCAAAGGTGTTGGCTGCCATGGAAAGGAAATGATATGAGAAGCATCAGCAGGAACTTTTAAGGAAACCAAACCAGTATTCATTGAAGCATAAAAAAATACAGCACATTGCGGTTGCAAACAAAAACAATTCGACCACTGAAGCCTGTATGTGCCAAAATTCAACTCTACGATTTGAAAGAAAGCATATGAATTGCTGTCCCCCCTCAAATAAAAAGAAAAATATACATGTATTAGCAATGTGACTGGCAAACATTTGAGATGGGGGCGGGGGGGGGGGAGGCAGGGAAAAAAAGCTCACACAGCGTCATCAGCCTGGCTGCAAAGCGTATTGTATCATGGCAAAGTCAAACCAGGAATCGGCTGCAGCAGTGGAAAACCAAGCTGCCACACAGCACCTGCACAAGCCACAATGTCTGCTCATTAAGTTTAAAAACAGTGGTCTTGGCATCATGAGAAGACCCAGCGATGGAACAGCATTGGAAAGGCATCAGGTTGGTAAGCTGCTGGAGAGATCATTTGCAACAACACACATGCAGATCCTAAGAAAGACACACCTTCCCCGGCAGAGGAAGGGGTTTTTACTTCTGCAGACACCTCCGTGACCTCTTTTACACTTTCCTCCTGGGGGGCCCCTGCTGGGGCACTCTCTTCAGGAACTATTTGGGCCTCCGTACTAGACTCCACTTGGCCCTCACTGAGGCCCTTGTGTTGGTCTGAGGCCTTGGCAGCCCCACACTCTTTCCCAGGAAGAGTGGCAGGTTTCTCTTCCTCAGCCATTGGACTCTCTAGCGCTTCTTCTTCTTAGGGATGAAAAAGATGTTGACATCATGACCACAGAACAACACACGAAACAACAGAAATATTATTTAATGAACACTTTCAGCTCCATTATATTGACCTCACGAGAACCTCTTTTACCATTTGGATGAGCAAATTAATATCCTAATACAACGGACATTATGTATTGTTTGCAAAATTAGTATGTATAATCTGCTAATGATGATGCCTTTTAAAGTCTCATTAAAAGGCTATTTATTTTAAAACTTGAGAGCTGAAAGGGTTTTATTGCTCTGTTACCCTCAGTGCAAATGGCAGTAAGTTATACACATGTGGAAAGCTTGCTGGAAATAAGAAATGGGGCTGCTGGATAACAGATGGTTATGAAAAGATAGATGCACTGATGATGTACTGAAAAAAACCTTCAAATTTGTTAGATATGTGCTGTTTTCTCCAATGCAGGAAGCCCCTACATAACGAATTTCTGATTACTGTATTTAAAACATACAAACTTCACTAAAAAAAATCTTTGGGAATACAAATCCTGGCCTCAAAATAATATCCAATCAACTACCTTATTATCAGCTTTATTATGAAATCCATCAGGACTATTTAAACTGTAATTTATTTAGTATTTTTAAGGCAAAAGACTAGCTAGCTCAATCTGTTTTAACTTCATTGCATTTTATGATTGGAAAATATAAAAATTTTTGAGGAGTAAGTAAAATATTTTGAAAAAACAAGGTCCAGGTAAAATTTAATTTCACTTACTACTTAGAAAAGTCTACCTCTGGAACGCAACTGTTATCATATTGTTTAAACCACAGAAATATCAGTAACGTAGTTCTTGTAGAGTTCCCTTTGACAATGAATAAGAAAATGTGCATATTATCATAAAGTCTCATTTCTGCAATTGAAAACAAAACCAGTAAGGAAAGATAATTGAGTGGCAACAAAACTGCCAAAATATCCTCCCAGTTGATGTATATCACACAGAAAAGTGTTAACAGTTACAATGTAAAAAAATAAGTTTCTAAAGGCTATGAATTATTGTGTTCATTTGTTTCTCATTTACCCTTCAAATGCCAGTAAAATAAATCCCATTTTATTGCTCGAGAAATTTCAGGGAAACATCTAAGCTGTTTTACAGTTCTGCAAATGGAAGACTCTTATAAAATTCCTATGAAACAATTATATGTTGTTTAAATGGTCCTATGAGAAAGACTACAGATGGAAAGGAAAGGATTTTTTTGAGAAATATTAAAACTCTTAGAAGGGGAAAAGAGAACTACTTCTATTTCCTCACATTTAGCACTCAGACATTTTCATTTTTGTAATTTAATTATGTCAGTAACATCTTAAACATTCAGATTCTAATTTATTATTAAGGCCATTTTTATTATGTCATAGAATTAGAGATTTTGATTACAGCTAAGAGACTTTTAATGTAACTGCTTTACTAATGTCACCTTATTGGATGGAATCTAATCAACTTAATTTACATGTTTTCCAAATCCATGTAACTTTTTAGCTTTCCATTTTCTCACTTTGTATAAATCATGTTTATTTTCAACAACTGTTCTTTATTCACAAATTCACATATTTTTCTGAATTGTTTTATGTTTCCTTAGTTTTATTCAATATTGATTATATTTCCCTATCAGAGTGTCTGAGCCATTGAGCTCTTTGTCTTCCAAAGGACTCCTGAAGGAGTTTATTATCATGAATGTAGTTGGTGAACTACGAGTTCATTTCCCATTGCCTTGGAATCATCTACCCTTACATTAAATATTGTTCCATCTGAAAATAAACTCTTTCCTTAAGCAAGTTATTTTTCCCTATTTGAAAATAACCTCTTCACTTAAGTAAACAAGAACAAAATTAGCTCTAATTTTTTCCTTATAAAAACTACCTTGTTAGAATGAGGCAAATTGCAGCCCACTGCCCACTTATTTTATCCTCACAAGAGCCAATTATACCCTAGCGTCTCCAACTTCATGAGGCTGGAATGACCAAAGTGTTGGAGCATTTCCTTCCTTTTATCCTATTTATATCAATTTGGACCAAGATTTAGTCACTCAGGGAAGTCTCTATTGTTTCTGTAGATGACCAAGTGATTTGGAGAAATAAATTCATTCCATAACATTTACTCTACCTTAAACAGATTCTTCAATCGTTCCCCTTTAAAAAGCTATCATATTAACATAGCACTAAAAAGAAGCCTAATTCTATTTAAGTCTGGTCCTAGTAATATTATGCATCCAAGGGAAAAATTGTATTCAAGGTCATCTTCTTTGGTTTGGGTAAAAGAATATATTTTTCCCCTAGTGATTTATTTGCAAGGGGCAGAAAGAAGTCATACTTCATTTGAACTTTTTTTGCTTCCTTCTCAGAAGCAGTGATACAGAAAAAAGGAAGTACCCCCATGTCTCAAATAAGGCTTCCTACCTATAAATTGTTGAGGTATGGAGACAGACATAAGCTATGTAGGGACTTCACCTCCATATGGAAAAACAGGCTCCTGTCCCTCCCACCCCACATGTGATGGCACACTTAGTATGATGCATGTGGTCAAAGCTGCAGGCTGGGGAGGAGGAGCAAAAGGGGACCATGCTGGGTTCACCTTTCTCCTGGCCTAAGTGGGCCTCTGCACTCTGCGCTGGGACACTGGGGAGCGCACTAGAGGCAGTCCATTGTGAGCTGAACAAAGGATGCTCATAGTACTCCTCATCGGAATTGCAAGGGTCATCATCAGGCACAGACACCGAGATGGAGGGGGCTAGGAGTCTACGCCTCTCCCCGCTGGTGGCAGGTTCGTGGCTGGGGAACCTGTGTAGAGGACCCACTTGATCCTCAGCCCCTTCATCTACAAACAGACACACAGGAAGAAACTGCAGGGAGAACTGGACAAGACAGACAAGATCAGACAGACAAGACAAACACCTGCACAAGGACACAGGACCACAGAAGCAGCACAGCAGGATGGAGGGGAACTGGCAAGACCAAGCTGATGGAGGATGGGAGACAGTGAATGTTCCATGCTTCAGTAGCCACTGAATTTCAACTATCCCTTAAGCAATTTTCCCCTTGATTTAAATGAATCGTATGCTCTGACACACCTACTGCATAATAGACATTATCTTTATATTCCCCTCAGACAAGTCAAAATAACCACAGAAACACTGGAATAGAAACAAAGCAGTATGCAAATGCATTTTTTAGAAGAAATTCAATTACATTCATTTTTCTCATGCTTCCATCAATATATTTGTAAGTTAAAAAAGAGGAAAGTTGTTAGGATCTGATGCCTGTACAATTACAAGGGAAAATAGTCCTGTTGAAGTACAACCTTAATTATCTCACATGGTTAGCATTTTGGTTAATTTAATTCTTAGTTAATGACTTTAAGCAGAAAGTAATTTTTAACTTCAATCCTGTTAAGAAAAATCTACAAGGCATTATTTTTCCTTCCTGCCTTACTAAGGGGAGCACAGTCAGGACAGCCTTTTCTTTGGATGCAAACTCCTAGGCATCCTTTAGAACTCTGGCTCTTATTTGCATGGCTGTGAAAGTATATGGTTTTAAGAAAGTACCTAGTAATACACACTTGTTTTCTTGTGTTCTGTTTCTCTTCTGAAAACTTAATAGAGATACACTTAGCGGAGAATATCTACAGAGTTGGCTTCAGATTCATTAAGATTTTCTTTGATGTGGTTTAATTTACACCACTGGCTTTTGGCTGTTTTTATATCTCAAACCCCTCATTGCATATTGCTCATTGAAATGCTAAAGGCACTGCTCTCATTTCTGTCCTTTCCTGTGTCTTAGCTTAGAAATCTGCATTATTTAAATCTATTTCCTTAGATACATGAGTGTATATCCAACAGTTTGCTTAACATTTGGAGTCTTGCAAACATCAATGAGCCATGAGGATGATGACAATGAACAATATTTGGCTGTTGATGTGGTGCAGACACTGCATCTCAGGCCTACATGGCAGGTTACTAAATTTGCTAATCACTATTTATTTACTTATATAGAGAAATAATTTTAAAATTTTATAATTTTCAATAAGAACAAAATTTGTAGTATCTCTCTGTATAATTTTTATTTCAAGCAAAATTTAAGTGGACAGAATTGCAGCACTAATTTGAAAATGCACTGTATTTTTCGGGCACTAATTTATTTTCAGCCAACTGAGTGCTGACAACTGGAAATGAGCCTGAAATCAGAGGGATACGAAAATAACATTTTCAAGAGAGAATACTTTAATCTTTTGAGCACATTATTTACTGATGGTTCCATGGAACTTGTTTCTGGATGGATGTTCAGAACTTTCTCAGCCACGATGCTTATTATATCAAGGGATAGAAGAAACCTAAAATTACATTTGATATTCTTAGTTCAACTCGGCACGATTTCTCAGCCGAGCTGACAACTGTCTGAGATGTGGCCTGCAACACTGCTGAATCAGAAGCCCTGGGCTTGTCACATGCTCCCAGCCATTCATATTTCCTCTAGTGAGTCCCGAGGCTGTAGACTCCCCAGGTACGCAACTTCCTTCTAAAACTTCTAATACGTTCAACAGATTGCGCAATCAATAAGTGAAAATGGCATATGTGCCTCTCTGCTTTTCAACATTTTCTGGGGAACAGAGCAGACTACTGTACAAAACTAAAGAATGTAAAGCTGAGAACTGATAGTTTAAAGGCAATACTCCTTGGATGTTTTAACCTTTTGAAGACTTTGGCTTCCTCTTTCTTGTTGCTCTTTTTGAAAGTACCAAAACATGGAAACAGCCCAGAGTCTTGCTTCAGATCTGTAACATTTCTAAGAAACAGTACTTTCTATTCTGAAGACTTTGCCCAATCAGAGAACAACAAAAACAACGAAAACTTCAAGTGCTTCAGTGGAAAAGTAGCTTCTCTGTAGTATTTTTCTGGCCCTTAACCAAGCAACTTGAAAAAGAATGGCAAAGCCCAGTCTTCTCTGGGTACTATGAGCTGTATGCACTAAGTCTCTGGTTAGGACCTACAAGCTGGCAGCCCATCTACATAAGTCCCAGAGACGTGCCAGGGAATTGATGCTTAGAGGATCATGACTGGCTAAGTCCAAACAGTGCACCAGGTTCCAGAGATAATGATCGAAGACAAGAGATCCTCATTTGCTACAGAATTGTGTGTGGTGGGTGGTCTTGGTTCATATTCAAATGGAGGTGCAATACATAATTATAAATAAATACATTATAGATGAATGAATGATTTACTTGGAAGTGATTTGGGGAAAAAAAAAAAAGGAAATCAGTCCCGTGTGGCTTATAACAAAAAAACCTCTCCCTGGACAATCACTTCCCTTTCATAGTCCCACAGTAAGAGCCTAGATAAGAGACAGCTTTAGGGATGCAGTGAGGCTGTGTTTGCAGGGACTTAGATTTGTATTTGAATGCTGGGTAAGCCACTTACTAGCTATGACATCTTGGGCAAGAGTGGAAGTGAATATTATCTATCCATGTGGGTTGCTCAGAGGATTAAATGGGAAGAGATCTGACAAAGTGCCATGTATCTCAGTTCCATACACGTTAGTCTCTGCCTTCAGTACATCAGACAAGTTGCCATGTACCTCTGCTCTTTCCTTTCATTTGACACATCAAAGCTAGACTTGAGATTTATGAAAAAAATGAATTCATAACAGTTTTGCTCTTTAAGGTCAGGACTGAATGCTTCCTTTTACTGCAAGTACACATATTTTGAAGGACTCTGCTTTTGCCACAAAATAGAATGTTTCATTTAATAATGTGACATTTTAAAGGACAGGGTGGCCTTATGAACCTTGGACTTTTACATAGTTCTTTCGCATAATGATAAATCTTCAAAAATGAAGCTTACCTGACTTCAGTGGAGAAACACATTCCCCTAATTTGTTTTCATACAAACTTTTTTAAAAAAGTATTTGAAAATTTATATTGGGTTAAAGTAAGGTTCCCGACACAAAATTCAGCCTTGGAATGTCAGCCCCCTTTGGTACAAGGGAGTAGTCACTTTTATGAGAGAACTGAGTCTCTTGGGGTATCAGTGACTTGGCGATTTTGCCTGTCCTGGCATCACAGCTCCTGTCCCCTGGCCTGGGACAGCTGGCTCCACTGACATTGTTTACCACCATCTCTAAGCCCTTTCCATTTTACACGTTTTTGACTGATGACTCCCCAGTTTACTGACTACGTGTGCTGCCCCAATGATATGGAGAGAAATTGCTTCAGACTAGCAGGTATAATGTGGCCATGCCACTGACACAGGGAATCATCACCCTAGGGTTCTGGAGCAAACCTAAGAGGGCAGAAGGATTCCTGGTTCTGTTTTCAGATGATTCCATTGTTCTTTCACGGGCTTCCAAATTCTAACAGTTGAGTCCAAATGACAACTACTATGGTCAGACCAGAAAGAAAGAGGAGATTAATTTGAAAAACATAACTAGTACAGTTTTGGTTCATTGTACCTGGGTTTCCTTTCTAAGTGTGCTACTTGCTTAATTTCTTCATCAATTTGGTTTTTGTTTGTTTGTTTGTTTTTTGGGGTGGAGATAATTAGGTTTATGTATTTTATTATTTTTTAATGGAGGTACTGGGGATTGAACCCAGGACCTTGTGCATGCTAAGCACATGTTTTATCACTGAACTATATCCTCCCCCCTTAATTTCTCCATCAAAATCCATTTGTTTCCCAGGATAAGCACATATTCTGGGAATTATTAGTATTATTTCAATTATAATAAATAAATATTTATACATGATAGTAGTTAACATATTAATTATTTTTAGTGGAAGCTGTCATGCTTCCTCTTGGGAAAGAACAGCTTTTAAAATGTTTGATAATTAATAAAAAGTAAGCATATCCTCAAAAATCACTGAATTACTCAATTTAATCTAAGAGCTCTCTTACACTTGTATAAAGGACTGGATTGTGGCATTCACTCTGCCTATAGATTAAAGTTGCTCTGAAGGTGTGTCGATGAGGATAAAAATTCTCCTAGATGAAAAAATCCACCTGCTTGCTTTCTACCCAATGTGCTATGATTAACGGAATTTAGGCTTAGTCTTTACAAACCGATTGGTTTTAAAAACTGAAAAATTGAATTCTGTCTTGTGACTTTTCATTCATTTTTTCCTAATAAAACAAAACAAAATAACTTGTTATACATACTTTAAGAGTGGTTTCAAATAAAAGGGAAGGGCTAATTTGACTGTCTCGATTACATCTCTCTCACATGTTTAAGGTGTGAATATTACCTGGTCTTTTAAATAAATGAAGTAGAGTTTGTAAAATACATACCTTTTTCTCTATAACTCAAAAATATGGTTATTCTTTTAAAAGTAAATCATTAGGCCTTCATACAAGTTAATGCTTTCTTTTAAAAAATAAAAATAATAATTCAATAAAAATACATGTTTAGCTTGAAAAATGTTAAAAATAAAATATACTCCAAATTGTTTTCAGTAGGAAGTAGGCTGATATTTTCCCTGAATATACTGAAATAGTTTGGGGAAAGTAATCCCGAAACGTAAGGGAATAGTTACTCTGGAAAGTGACACCTACGTTACCTAAATCATATTTTATTTATATTTTCCTTATATCCATTGTATCACCCTCCAGAAACAGACTGGGTGAATCCCCAGGTGGATGGAAGCGCCCCACTGTCTTTTTGGCTCCAGCTCCCACGTAAGAGTAAGAAGAGTAAGTTATGTGACATCTGGCTAACTTTGGAGTCAACAACATATCCCTCTCCGTGTTAAGAGGATTCTCTGACACTCAAATAGCCTTAAGTTCAGGTTCAGAAGCATTTTCAATGACCTGAGGGAAGTGCAGCTGTCATGGAAAGCTTTCCACTGCGTTCAGAGTAAAATCCAGGTCCCTGAACCAAGCAGCCACTGCTTGTTCTCAAACTCCTTCACTGCTCTACCCCTTTCTCACACACTGGCCGTGGGACTCCTTCAGATCCCACAATACTTCATTCTCCTGCCACCTGAGTGCCCTTGCACATCCTGGCCCCTCTGCCGCAATGCCCCTTCCCTCCATCTTTGCTTGGCCAACACTCCTTCAGGATTCTGAGATCAGCTCCCAAACTGTCCCCTCACCATCCAATAAAGTAAGATTTCCCTTCTTCTATCTTGAAGCTCCTTGTTCTTTCCCTTCCTAGTGCTATCCCAATTTGAGATTATTTGTAAGTTTATTTGTTGGATTTCTGCTCTCTACCAGACTAAGTGCTTCTTACAAGCAGGGATTGTGTTTGTTTTGCCCACTAGTGTATAACTAGAAGTTGAAGAGAGCAGGAAATACTGCAGGTGCTCCATAAACATGCACCAAATGAATGGATGAACATAGGCCAAAAAATTTCAGGGAATTAACTAAATAATAATCAGTGTCTGTAATGACACTAATGATACGCACTGATCATAGTCCCTAAATTTTCTTTTATTCCTTACAATGATTTAGTTTGTTTAACATTATTTCAAGCAGTAAAATTAGAAAAATGGCCTCAATTTAAGAAAGACTTTGCTAAAAAATTTTTAAGTTTATAAGTCTGTGACAGAAATAAATTGTATTTATTGATAGTTTATAGTTAATAATTTAGAAAAATCTGTATTTAGGATTTCAAAGATTTTAAACAGATCTAATTACAGATTGTAAAAAAGACAGTGAGTCTTTTGTGATGTTATTTATTTTTTAACACAGTAAAGTGATCTCTAAAAGGGACAACAGAAGGAAAAATAAGTGAAGAAATAAATGAATAAAATGGAGAAGTATCAAAATTTTGATTTCAGTAATATGAAAACTAAATTATATTGAAACAGCAAGTGAGCTGAATGAAGGTTTCCTCTGCCTTCTGTAGCTCTCAAACAATAGACAAAAGTTAACTGATCTAAGTCAGAGAACCAATAATGGTTTGCTTTTAAACAGTGCCTTTCATCTCAGATTCTAAATGAATATTCTTCAAAGGCATCCCCCTGCTTTATCATTGAGAACTGAAAGGCTGACATGGCATTCGAAGTTGAGTAAATGCATAAATAGATTCATGGACAATAACAGGTCTCAGCAGGACAGAAGCCATGATCTCAGCTTCCGGCTCACTGCTCTCAATATCAGATTCATTCACTGACTTCTTCATTTATTTATTAATATTTATTCAGAGTTTGCTATGGGCCAGGCCCTGGGGAAGCCCTTGGCAATATAATAGTGAGCAAAACAGAGACAGTTCCTGCCAACCTTTCTGTAAAAAAAGTGTTGATTTCATCAATAAATTTATTTTTGTGCAGTCACTCATAAGATTAAACTGTATCTTCTCCGTCAAAACATTCTACATTAAGTAAACTGACTCTCTGTAATTATTCCAGCCATTTAAACACAAAGTTATCCTCTCCTCTATCAAGCAGATTTTTCCTTTTTTATTGACCATATTTATCTACTTTTGATTTTGTATAGGTAAATGATTATACATTTATTTAAACTGTTTCTTCTTGATTATTTGAAAGAGACAGCTCCCAAGCTGGGTCACACACTAATCCACACTGAAGTCCAGTGCTTACAGACTGAGGGTTATTCACCCTTTATTAGAAGACAAACCTCAAGAAGTCCAACGGGCCTTACCTTCCTCCACTGCGACGGTCTGTTCTGAGGCTGGTGACGGGGGTGGAGAAGGAGGCAGATTAGCTGTCTCTTCAGCTGCTAAAGATCAAACAATGGAAAAATGAGATACAACAATGAATCCTATTAGGCCAGTAGATGTGTAGGCTGTCCTGCCATCTGTGAAAAGGACTCTATGAGATTCGGGGAAAGAATCAATAGTAAGCTGCATTTGACTTATTTTAAGCCCCATTACCTCATTCACATATTTTTGAAAACCTAAAAAAAAAAGAAGAGCATTTAGTATTAAAAAGAAGATCATTTTGTCTTCTCCATAAAAATGGATTAGACATGGCTGCTAAAATCCGATCATTAATCCCATTAATTTGTGTCTGCTTGTTCAGTTAATACAGTATTTCATTCTGGTCATAAACTACTATATTCAAACACACACACTCAAGCAGTTTAGTTTGGGTTTGGCTTGACTGACTGGAAAAATATTAGGGCTCTCTATTGTCCACATCCTTGATCTGGAAACTAATGCTATCTAGATTATATAGTGATTTCAGGCACTATACTTTTTTAAACAACATTTTGTCCACTGAGTACAAAGTCAAAGCCCATCTTCAGTACGTATTCTCAGAAAAGAAGAATGAAACTGTCACAGCCTCAGGCAACCTTCAGATAGAAACCCGTACCAGCGGCAGATGAGCTCTGGCCTTGGCATTACACTTGAAGAAGGACCAAAGAGAAAGTTCTAAAAGACGGAATTCATTTGCACTTAAATCCAAGTTTTCCTCTTCAAGACACTTACTTACCCTCTTTATGACCACTCATATGAAGGTAAGGGATTTCAAAAGGAAATATTAATCAGTCAAAGCCAGTGGTAAAATCTATTTTAAAGATGATGTGGATTTTAGTTTCATAAAACACTTAGTAGAGGCAGCTTTTGGATGATAGGCAATGTTTTAGTTCCTTGACCCCGTGGGCTTCCAAAGCATATTTCAAACTTTCAAATTAAAAACTGGGGGCAGTTTCCTTTACTTCAAATAACAGAAGTAAACCACAGAAAGAAGGTTGATGTTTTAGATAATTTTTCCTCTGTTTTATGAGAAAAATAATCCAAGAATATTTTATTGAAAATAATGAGAGTACTGTTAAGAGTAGAATTTATTATTTCTGGAAGAGGAGAAATTTTTATTGCTTAACTTTTAATAAACAATGGAGTGCTAATCAGAAAATCAAACATTAAGGATACATAAGAGTGTAGGAGAGAAAAATAGATATGTACTATTTTTAGGCTTTAAAAACCATACCTTTTTTGAAAATTGCACCTCTTGGGGAGTGATGGAAATGTTAGCTATCTTGATTGTGGTAGTGGTTTCATTGGTGCATACATCTATCAAAATTCATCAAATTGTACATTTGAAATATGTATAGTTTACTGTACAGGCACCATACCACAATAAAGGTGTTAAAAATAAACAAATAAATAAAACCCATACCTTTCTATGGATTAGTTATACGTACCTATGAAATAAACATACATGTTGACCTAAGAGAGTTTCCTTTTTTATATCTTTGCAGGTATATACATCTATATCTAGCATCTGTCTCTGTCTGTCCATTTATCTATTTATCTATCTATCTATCCATCTATGTGAGAGTATGGACAGCAGGATTTTAGCTGAGAGTGCTTTCCTAGGCAAGCACCATTACATTACCTGTTTGGCCCTGTAGGGCATTTGACTTGTGATGGAGGGAAAGGGCAAATGCTACTTCATTGCTCTTAATGAATCAAGTGAAGAGCAGTACCTTATATGGGGTACAACGTCACTGATGATTCTAACAACGTCTGGCTATAGGTTTCATGTAGCCTGTTTAGGAAGACCCAAAAGAGACTGTGGAATAGACAATCATTAACCAAACTCTGTAAAGGTAAATAATCACCTCTAACTAAAGCATTAGAATATTTCCTTTATGAGTAGAGGCCATGCCATCAAATGTATTGGCTTTATTTTTATAACCTTCTAGTGGTCTTAAAAAAAAATTAAGGGCAATTTAGGGGCAATATCTAATTATAAATTTATTGTCCTAAAGGTTACCCAAACACCACAATGAGCCTGTCGTGAAATCAGGTCCCAGGGCATTGTAATAGGTGTTTGATGAGTGTCACCATTTGGGGTGAAATATGATATATGGAATATCTTTGAACATGGAGACCTGATCTTGTGATTAGGGTACAGCAGACACAGGCCCTGACCTGAGGCTCTTTCTCATTTACCTAAAGGCAGAGCTGCAGGCTGATCTTTATGCTGGGCTTCTTTTTCTTGTTCACCTTTCAGGACCGCTACGGCCTCCGCCGTGACTACTTGAACTATCCTTGCAGACACCTCCTCTGTAATAAACAGTGACAAAATAAAATAAAATGATGAGACATCCAAAACAGATAGCAAAGAAGAAAAATAATCAAATAATATAATCAATTAGAATTTCATTTTTACTGTCTTCCTCCCTCCAAAAGTACAATAGAATTTAAGCTGCAGATAAAACACATACACACACCCCACCACAAAAAAGAGAGAGAAAAGGAGCTGGCATTCTGAGAGTTAAGCAAAATAAACACAGAATTTAAAAAACAAATGCTTTAGATACTGAAACTAAACTAAATGTGACTTAACATTTCTTTCACGTTTGAAGTACAATTTTAAGAAGCTGGAGTCCTAATTCAAACTTCAGGCATCCAGAGAGAGAGCAGGTACTGATAGTCTAATTAAAATTCCTGAAAAAGCTTTAATTTCTAAGCAAGGCTCCAGCAAATTCTCTTCACATACTTATACACCAAGTATTTTTCATAAAGCAGTTTTTAAGACAATACACTTTGCATTCTTAATTTAGTTTAAACAAGGAAGGATTTTGTTTTCAACTCCTGCAAAAATGTACGGGATAATTACAATATCAAATAGTAATGATTCAGTTCACCCTTAAAGGGATGTCTTATCCTATACAATTTAATTTATAGCATCACACAATTTTAGAGCTAAAATAGCTTTCAGAGAAGATTTTGTCTAAATCCTCTCATTTTGTAGGTGAGGAAATAAAGGCTGGGTATAGTTTTGAGATTTGCTCCAGTTCACACAGCTGATGGAGTCAACTGACATTATTTATTAGCACACAGGTTTCCTAACTATTATGCTATTCTTTCTCCTAAGCAGAAGAACAGAAGGAAAGCAGAAAATTCTCTAACAGTCACGTGTGAATGATCAATGGAAATATACGAACTCTTTTAAAGGTAAGAACCAAGGAAACATACTCTCAGACATGCTTGTCTATTTGTCTATCTAACCTGCACTATTGCTCTTCCTGATTATTTTTGAGACTATGTAACAAGTGATTGACCACGACTGAGCAATAGCTATCTATCTACCTATCTATCTATCTACCTACCTAGCTACCTTCCTACCTACCTATATATCTTGTAGACCAAGTTAGATACTGTAATAGATAATTTACCTCAAGAAGATGTTTTATTTCTAAGAGACAGTACTGATTTATTAGCATTTTTGTTCCATTTTTGTGTTTGAGCAGAAGTTTTCATAGTTATTCCAGGTACATAAGTAACAGTAACGATCCCCAAAGCATTGTAAGGAATACTAACTGCCACGCTAGTGAGGGGGGCGCAGAGCGGGAGACAGGGCAGAGCGGGAGATAGGGCAGAGCGGGAGACAGGGCTGGGTGTTTTCATGAAGCCAGGCTGCTGGGTAGGGCTTCTCTGAACAGTCTCTGAAAGGCTGGTCTCCCACAGTGACATTTTCAATGGGAAAGAATACTGCAAAAAGGGCTACAGAAAATTAAGTCCACTTGGAGACAGCTCTTAGATGTCTACATCACTGAACGATATTATTACAAAAAGAATTAGGTTCTGAGAATTGCCACTTGCATATATTCATTTTCAATGAAACTCAGATATTTAAAAATCAGTAGAGTGATTTTTAGAACTTCTAGCAGCTAGGTGTTTTATGGAAAACTGGGTGTAACGGAGAGGTGGAGCAAGCACTGCAGAAACTGGGACACACCTAGAACCGCTGTACCTTCTGGGTCACTCCTGCATACCTCTGTCGGCATGCATGTATGCGAAATCTGGTACCTCTCTATTGCACTTCATAGGTACATCTTGCGTGGAACTGTGCTGGCACACAAGCCTTATCTCTCCTACTATGTAAAGTTCCTCAAGTCTAGGACACTCTCTCTGTCATTGTTATAATTCTCGAAGATTCTCTCATTGATCTTTACCTAGACTGGATGCTTAACACAACATTTTGGAAGGATGAATAATGAACATGAAAGGCTTGTCCATGGTATTTACACAAATTCAGAAATAATCCCTGCTTGTTACTACATTTACTAACTTAAGCACCCCCCCAATTATGTCATTTACTATATTCTTGTTTAAGCTTTTGATGCATTTTAGAACAGTCTTTCTTAAATGTGGGTCCTAGATCCTTCTGTACCTATTGATTAATTTTCCAGGGTCTGAGAGTAGTTAACATAAATTAAATTTGTTTAAATTGAGAAAATAATCCCCCAAATATTGCAAGTATCTCCTGGTTTATGTGAGCAAATTACAACTCTACTACGTTATTTCAGTCTTTGTTTGAGAATGTATTTAGAATAATTTTGACATCATGGAGAATTAGTTTACGTGTTGTTGGCTAAATAGAACAGAGGTGAACTTAACACAGTAAAAGATGTATTCACACAAGATGTAGGTCAAAGGACATTATGCACTGTACAAACTTTCAAAATATTCTAAAACAGAGATAAGTGAAGAGAAAATTGAATCATTACTTGTCTCCAGGCAGTAAGGACATGTTAAACCTAAATAAAATAGACTGTATCCACTGGTACCACATACTTATAAGTGATAACTTGGTTGTACCAATTTTAGATAGGAAGTAGCAGGACATTTGAATTTTATTGCTTTTGTTGTTTCAGAGAACATTAACTTATAAATGTGTTTGAGTTTCATAGTTGACTCAGTTGATTTTATATTTGTATGCATCTAATCAAAACTAGTTAAGAAAATAATTTAGCCTAATCTTGGGAGAATTGACCAATTTTTTTTTCTTTAAAAGATTTTAACAGATCATAAGAAATGCTCCTTTAGGATAATCAAACAGGCTGTGTGGGTTCCAAGTTCATGACATATTATCTTCCATTTCTGGGGAAAAATAATATTGTTAAATCTTTAAAAACAGGAAGTAACATATTTTTAAATATTAATTTTACAGTGAATTTAGGAAAACATGAGTATAGGATTGTTCTGGGGGTTTTAATCGGTCTAGTCAATTAAAAATCTTCCTCTAAGTAAGGGCTGTCATCAATGTGGAGAGGACAGCTTCCCCTGCGAAGGATGGCCTTTTCCCAATGAAGGCCTAATCAGCAGAGCTCCAGAGTAAGCTTCACTCTCGTAGCCTGGCTCCTGGAAAGGGAGCAAATTCACTCAGAGCTCAGGTAAAGTTCAGGGAAGATTAATGGTAAATGTGTCAAACACATACAAAAGGCAAAGGAAGACAGTCACAAAATCAGACCTATAAAAATGATAACATAAGAGGTACACTGTGTACGTGTTATACACATAATCATACTATATATAATTAGCTATATAATATTATATATTTATTCATTCCACAAGTATTTATTAAATGCCTCCATCCATCCATCCATTATATCTTTCTACCTATCTAGGGGATTACTGTCTTTTATAGTGGACATTAGAGGAAGTCGCATGAACTTTAATTCAGAGAAATGGGGCTATAAACTCCAGCATTTCTAGTTCCTAGTTACTTCATACTAAGAAAATTACTCAAACTCATTGAGTTCCAATTCCTTGACCATAAGATGAAAATAACAATGGTAACCATCTCACAAGTTGTTGTGGGGACTCAAGTATAAAAATATGTAACAGGCCTGGCACATCAAGCAACTAAAATAAAAAGACATCCAAATAGTTCGTCATCAAGATGTTTTTATTTTCTCCTAGCCACACATCCCTACTTTAAAGAAAGAGCAACAGAAATATGCAGGAAGGGTCCCATCCAACTAGGCTAGCCCTATGATGAATATCGGATAATATGGTTAATCTGTGAGCATCGATGTTGATGGCCGAGGGCAGTGGTCTTTTTTTGTTTTGTTTTGTTTTTTTCTAGACAAAGCTAGAGGGATGTTGTTATTTATTCTCTGGCTTCATACCCGCTCCCCTGGCTCTGGGGGCCCTGGGCTACCATCTGCTCTAGATTCCTGCCAGTAAGTCCCAATTTAGGACTGTCTCCTAGACAATACTCCTAAAGGCACAATAACCCCCATCTACTGCTGAGAACAATTAGCAACATGAAACATTCTTTTTGAGACAAGAAGTTAGACTGCATTTTAATTTTTCATTGCTTACTTTTTCTATCTCCTTACTCCTTTCCTACTTTCTAATGTAGTTTATTTTTTATTCCAAACATAACATGAATAAAATTTTGAATAAGACTTAGCTGTTCAGAAGAATAAAGATGAATATAAATTACATAGAAACTGAAAAGTATTATTCATTATACTTACTGAAAGGTAACACTGATCTTCACAGCTGAAAATACGACACTTCTTACCGTAATCTGAAATTTTGAAAGGCCCAATTATCTGTCTTTTGAACACTTAAAATTTCTGGAAGTGGACGTTTTTAGTTTATGTTAGAAATTGTCTTAGTTAAGGAGTGTGTGAAATATGTATTTTATTCTACTTTGTTAATGTAAGGATTTCACATTTCAGTGAGAATACTTACGATCAGTATTTGAATATTAACTTGGTATTATTTTACCAGCCGTGTCATTATGGTAATGAGACAGTTTCTATAAGAAATACAAAAATATCTCACGGTGTGGCTGTAAGTCATGTCATGCCTAAATGAAATGAATGGCAACTTGGAATTAATCTGATAAATGATCTGCCTGTAAATCAGAGTGAAAACATTAAAAGCAACTTCTTTAAAACAAATTAATCTTATAATCTCTAAATAATGTTATTGATTAGAGGCTGATAAAAAATAAAAGATTTAAAGATCCAACCCAGGGAACAGAGCAGAGTAAGTATAATGAATAATACTTTTTAAATTTCTGTAGTGACATCATGTCATCACTACACAGAGAAACATCTAAAGGTAAGAAGTGAAGTCTGTCTGATAAACGTATTCTGGGTGACAGAGTTAGGATCAGTATTCATAAGAAGATGAAAGTAATCTTCACTAGCTTGAATTGAATTCTGGAAAGAAACAAGGTCTTTTTCTTGTTATTGGGGAAATGTTGGTGGAACATATACCACCAATCGGAGTAAACAGGTATAAGAAACTAATTGAGATACTCTCTCATCCGCAGAAACCTACTTGATAATACCCCAAAGATATCATGCTAAGCTACATACATTCTCCCAAATAATGAATAAACCTGTGATTCAAGGTTACTGAACAAGTTGTTACATGAGGCACCTGCATTTCCTGTCAATATCATCTATTTCACACAGTAACACATTTTTCAGGTTGGAAAACTGGCAAAATAATAGATAAAGGCAATGTCCTGTCCCATTTGGATATCACTTTGATTTGTATCAGTGTAGCACAAATATTTTATATCATAGTAAGTTCTTGTGTCAGAAAACCTGGAATCAAATTCCCTTTATCTCTTAGCTACAAGTAAATGACAATCTCTCTAACCTTCAGATGCCCACCCTATGTATAAAGGGGAACAGCAGTACCATTCATCTTTCAGTGTGTTGTAACAATTAACTGAAATATATATATATATATTTATATATATATATCTCAAGTGCTTATTTAAATTATATATCACTGTTTTAATCACTCTTACTGTCTTGTTATCATCAAGTCTACTATCATCATTTGTGAAGAGCTGAGAGTTTTTGTCACACATTGGGACGATTCTGTCACTTTTCCCAGTGAGTACCTCCTTGCCTCAATTTTGGGTCACTCCTAAGAGACAGTATATCAGTCTCCTGCCACTTATTATTCGGACTAATATGATACAGTACATTTCACTTTATCCGTGTACCATACTATTCAGCATTTACAGTTGGGTTGCAGCTCTCTGGTTTTTTCCATGATGCTGATTCATGCCACACCACCACTATGCTCCTCTGTTCACAGTATTTTACCACTTCAAATTTTGTTGACAGTCTCAGGCCTTGTTTTAGCGTGTATTTTTAGTTGTGTTATTTTGCTATATTAATCAATCAATATTGTTTGGTTAATTTGTAACAAAAACAATGGAGTTGAAACTTTCTCAGTGGCCCTGACAATACCATCTTGGTTCTGAGCAACATACGACATTGTTGGTATACACAGAAGTCTGATTTTGAATGTGTACCTTTTGGGTTTTCATCAGGACCAGCTGTGATTACTTGAACCTGCACAGGCTCACCAATTAGACTGTGAACAAAAGAATCCCAGCAAGTAGGCATATGCCTGAGAACATATTTTTGTTGATTTCTTTCAGGTTGTTTAAGAGAGAAGTAAGAGCTGCAGACAATGAATTCAACCACATGGGATCCAAAAGCCAGTTAAGTGTTTTTGCTTTTAAGAATAACGGGCATAATAGTGCCGTGTTAAAAGAAATGACAAGTAAGCCTACCGTATGCTCGTGAAAAAAGGAAAACAAAACAGTTTTAGACAGAGTGCTCCTGTCAAGAAAGCGTTTTTCTCAGTAGGGTACAGAATGGTTGCCTAGGAAACCGGTGCTAATTGCTACTGCTGATGGAAGCTAGTCAACAAGGAAAGCACTGTGTTTGAAGCACTCTGCTGAACAAACACCCTGGATACATTCATAGAAACAGGGAAAGGAGGAAAGCTCCTTGCTCCTACTCCGTGCTTAATCTGGAGAGTAAATGGTCTCTCTGAAGCTATTTCCTATAATCAAGTGGTGATGAAGGAAACTAAAAGAGCAGATTGTATTTTGTTGTTGTTGCTGCGTTTGTTTCCCTGGCACCTCAGCACTAATTAGAGACCAGCACTGGCATCTCCCTCCTTCGTCAGACTCCGATTGATCCCAAAGGGTCACCTTGGCCAACACTGCAGCTGTAGATCTCTGCCTACCAGCTTTGTCTTCCAAAGATTTCTTTTACAGATTTACTGATTAAAATTAGGATCTATTTAATTTATGGGGAGAAATGCCTTTGCAGTAAAGGTAGTCTATGGAGATAAATGCATTTTAAGATGCAGAATCATGATTGCACAAGGTTTGGTTCTGACTGGTACTTAAATTTAAGAGGATTTATACTGCACCCACTACAGAGGATGGAATTTTGCTTAGTCACTATGGGAGATACAATGATGAAGAAGATACGGTATTCCTACATTTAAATTGTGCTTGAAAGTGCGGCAGTCTCCTTGCAGGACATGTTGTTTGTTTTTTGTAAGATTTTTTTTTTAGTAATGGCCATAGATTTTAGCTGATTTATCCAGTCACATATATGGCCCTCTTCTGAAGTGCATCTGCAACCTGGTTGGGCTAGCACTGGGAGTACAGCCTGTGATTATAGGAGAATGTTCCCTCTCTCTCCATTTTTTCCTGTTTCAGCCCATGTGTTTAAATCCACAATCTTGTTTAGACTGACAATTTAACTTACTCAAATGAAGTTTTCAGAACTTGAACAGAATCGGCCTAACATTTAAATTTAGTCAAGGGGGAAGGCATAGTAAATTAAGACGGTTTTAGTGAAAGGATGGTTTACTGCAGGTTAAGGGTATTATAGTATGGAATCAAAAGTAATTAGAAAAGCAAAGTACAGATCAGAAATAGTACTTACTGGATAATTTTGCTTCTAATTTTAAGGGTCCAGCAGGAAATAGGAAGAAAGAAAATTTGAAGAACATTTAAGCAGAAGAAATAAAGTGAGCAAATAAATATAGTCTAGCTTTATACTTACATATTCTAGTTAAAAGTCTATGCTGTTCGTGGTGCTGGGGGGATCTCAGTGTAATCATGTGTGCATATTTATATTGTTGCTTGTAGCCCATATAATAAACATTTACTAATTAAATCATGTAATATTTTATTGATCTCAATTTGAGAAAAATTTCTTGGGGAATTTGTCCCTCTGAAATTTTCAAATTGCTTTAATATGAATAAATTGAATATGATAATTAATGCACTGAGGGAATTGATAATGCTTTCAGAGCTTTGAAATGCTCAGTTTTGCATTTTGTCAAAACCATTAAAACTGAACTATTCCTTGTAGACTTGTGAGAAATTGGATTATTTTCTGCATTAAGTCTTGAACACACAGTCAAAGGAATGTAGCACTAGCATTATTAATAACATTAATGAAAAGATGAAATATCAATAAAACTAAGAAAGCCTGAATAAATTCATCCTTAGAGTGTGAGATAAATAATATAAAATGTAGTGTGTGTGTAGAACACCACTAGTGCACACAAGTGTGTATGGGTGTGTGTGAATGTGTGCACGTGTCAGCATTCAAGCACGTAAAGGTCTCTCAATGTCTTCAAAAGTTTCATCAGTATTTGGGTACCTCAAAGGACTTGGGTACCGGGTGTGAGTCTAAGATTTCACATGGGGAAATCACTGCTTCTATAGTTGTAAAACCTAGGAAAACCAACGAAAACATAGAGGATATGATGGAAAGATGAGAAAAAGTTCTAGATTATAAAAAAAAAATCATTGGAATGAATTTTTAAAGTATAAGTGCTCTAGACACCAGGGAAAGTCTTTACTGTTTACCTCTATCAACTTACATAGTTAATCCAGGAAAAACTGTTACAATAAAACAGTAAAAATCACCAGCTTAGCTGCCTTTGGTTTGGTCGTTCTAACTCATCCCCAGCATAATGACTTAAGTCAATCTCTGGAGGCCTCCTGACCTGGAAGCATATGGAATTTAGGAACCAGGTGATGGGAAAATCACTTTGTTCACAATACATCACAGGGTGCATTCAATCAACAAACAGACAGACCAACATGACTTCTGTGTAAGTACAGTTTGCTTAAACCTCCAGGCCTGATGTGGTTCTAAGAATGAATGTGCAAATAGCAACATACATACAACAGCCGCCTGTGTGCTTTCTTCTTAGCAAGTCTCTCAGGAACTGTAAATGTTTTAAATGAGTGATTCTCCATCTTCTACAACTGCCTGTTTTATTTATTTATTTTTTTTGCCATTGGAGCTATATAAAATACTGTCTGCAAATATTCTCTTTATATCAGTCCTGAAAGACTTGACAGACTATGTTGCTACGTGCACATGGTAATTCTTTATATTTTTCAAGTTATAACTAAATACACATAACCGGAGAACCATGTTTCAATTATCCTGCGGGGAAAGCACAATGGAATTAATTACATCATGAAATTCTGACAACTAAAATGCTATGGTGAAAAAGAAAATAAAACAAAAAATAAAGAAGAAAGATAATTTTGAGCCATCCTCCTTTTGTCCTTTAATAATGTTTGTTAAATAAAAAGTCTAAAGAAGTAAAATTACCAATAGTTATAGACTTTTTTCCCCAGGGTCTCTAAGTAGCAAAACCAAGAGATTTTGAAAGTAAGAAAATAATTTTTTTAAGTAAGAAAATAAGTGTTAAGTCCAATGTTATATTTGTCTTTGGTGCTATTATGATAGCAAAAAGCAAAGACTTTAATAGAATTTTAAAATTTCTTTATGCCAAAAATTATGCTAAAATAAAAATTTCTTTTATGTTCTGGATTGATTAATCCATCCCATGGAAAATACTATTAAATGAATTTCTCTCCAATCATGGGATCCAATAGGTGTTCATTATGTTAAGACAAACAAGGACAAGTAATTTCTTATCTTCAGAAATTTGCAAATAACACACAAATCCTATTTTAGAAAATACCCCTTAGGGATTTGCTGAAATAAAGTTTTACATGAATGATTTTACTTCAGTGCTATTTACTTATTTCAGTCTATGTCTCTTCTCTGTGTACTGGGTTTCGTTGTTACCAAGCACACCTCAAGACGTAACTGCAAATTGTGAGTGCCATCTATCTCATACTTAAATCTGTCAAAGTACTCATTCTTTATTTGAAGACACTGAAGCTTTATAGCAGAAAGCAAATGATATTTAGGAAGTTTAAAACTGCAACTCATTATGGCAACAGCTCTGATTGTCCTATTGCAGGAGCTCAGCAGAAAGAGAAAGGTAGATCAATTTTGATGGAGCAGCAAAGCTGGAAAAAAAATGCAGGAATGGATGCTATCTGGGTAGGCAGGCTGACATGAGGAAAGGCAATTAGGCTTTGCAGTGGGGCTGCAGATCCTGAACATATGAGGTATCTGATGGTGACTGCTGACAACCTGAAGAAAACAAAGAACCAGGATTCAGGAAGCAAATGGAAAGGTGCTCAAGGCAAGTTCTATTTACTTCATTATTTAGCCTCCCCAATAGGCAGACGTTACAGTAATCATATGCTATACTATGCTCAAAAACACAGTTTCATTTGGCATGAAAAACACAATCCTATGGAAGAGATATATGGGGCTTCCTGATGGTATGGAAAATCAAGTTTCATAAAAAGGTCCTGAATTTTTCTTAGTAAAATATGGCAATGAAAAATCAATTTACTATGAAAATAGATATTATTTTCTTCCTGACACTTAAAGTAACATTTCTAAGTCAGGACTTTTATCTTTTTCTCTTCAAAATGAACTTACAATTTCAATATTTCATACATAGTAGCCTTGATCATGAAGAGGTGACCAATTTTTGGTTCTAAGAATATGCCTGAAAATAGCTTGGCTTTCGTGATTCATTATCATCCCCCTACTAGTTTATCAATCACTCCTTCCCAACTTTTACAGAGATCCTCCACCCTTCAAAAATGTTTTATTTAAGCTTGTATTTGGGTCTGTTTTCCTAAAGAGAAGTTTGCTGTAAAGGAAAAACTCTTATGAAACCAGGGAATTTTGTGGTTTCTGCCCCCCCCCCTTTTTTGGATAATTCTGAAATGCAACATGAAACAGAAAGGTGGGAATGATTTGGTTTGACAGTAACAAGGTGATCAAAAGCTATAGGAAGACAAGCACAGCTTTAAAGTTTTAATATAATCATTCTATTAGTTGAAGCACTGTACTCAAAATTTTATAGAATAAAATAAAAGAAACATCTCAACATTTTAATCAGATAGATTTTTCAAAATATTTTCTAGCAAGCATATTTGGTAATTTTTATTTTTCTACAGACCTAGTGAAAAAAAAAGCATTTTGTATTTATAAGTTTTTTCAAATCCAGTTGCATCAGAGAACATAGGGAAAATTGAAACACCATTACTTAAGCACAGGAGATTAAGTTAGAATTAAAGTAATGCTCTTTCTTTTAAAATTTACTTTAAAAAAATTAAACATAATTTGGGAGGTTTTTATTCCTTCACTTAAAAAAAATTAAATTAACCTTCTCTGGTGATTTCAGGCCTAAGATGCTGAATTATCAGCTAGAGTACCTTCAATTCACCTGTAAACAATGAAATCCAACTAAAAAGGAAACCTGTGTCACCAAAACAGCCAAGTTCCTGAGCAGTGTTTTCAATGTTGCATTCAGATCGTATGTGCAAGTTCAAGATGGCCCACAATGCATTTCAAGTACTAAATTTTTCTTAGGCTGATGGCAGATATTTCCGTGAGGACAAAGATCACTATTATCCCAACTGAACTTCACCTCCTGGAATGTGACTCTGGAAAGTGACATGTGTACTTGCTTCGAACTCAATTCTGTTTCTTTTTTATTACAATCAAGACATAAGAATTAGGTAAGAAATGGCCTAGAGGAACTATCTTAGATGCTTTGTGACTTAGGCTAAGTAAGTGTAATTTTTTTGAGAAAAGGTAGGTTTCCCTATATAGCTTTTGTGTTCTGGTAAAAGCTCGCAAGAGAGCTGGTTTATTCCAATCTTTTCAACGCTTTAGTCACAAATCTCGGTTTTTCGACCTAATCAGAAAAACAACTGATACCTAATTTTTAAAGGAAGAGAAAAATAAACTTTGGCTTTGAGATAAAGGATAGCAACATGTAAAATGCAACAGGAAGAAAAAGTATCCAATGAATTGATTCGTTTTAAAAATTGCTTATAAAAGTAATTGGAGTTGTTTTTATTGTTTTCCTTGTTATTTTATTTTATTATTTTCTCCTTGGAGAAGAATAAAGTCTTTTAAATAATGAAATAATTAATGATTAGAATTAGAAAATGTAAATGGGAGAATCTTTCATTTTAATATGTCAAAAAGAAAAGCTCTTATCTTTTTTTTAAATAACAAACCTAGATAAATATATCTAATTGAAATTGAAACTTTTTTTTCCTGAAGTTAATGAATAAATATTCCCGTTATTCAACAGGGAAATGCTGTTTACTACCTAAGAACTCATCATTTTCAAGTCATTTTATAGACTTAAAGATGACGTAGAGAATAAAAGGACATTGGTGATATTTTATTCAGGTTGACCTTCAAAAACAGGGTAACACCTCTCCAAGACAATACTGGTATTTTCCTTAAGAAAGAGGTAATAATTAAGTCTATGACTTAGAACATCCATTTGCTTTAAGATTCAGTTTGTCCATTTGTCAGAAAGGAAATTTATGTGTGCTCCTGACCTACAGCAGTGAGGCAATCCTTACAACAAGAATGTGCATTGTACATTTCTGTTTGCAGGATATTTCAGTTCATTTTCTATCGAGGCCAACAAATATTACACTGGGCGCAATTCTGCAAGAACGAACGTGAAAAGTTGTTCACTATCCGTGTACGTCTTAGCTGTTAGACTATAGACGTCCTTAGAAAGGTCATTTATCCCGATTTTTCATATTCTTCCCAGTTCAGTTATTTCCATCATCAAGAAAATACTTCTAATCAGATGTCTTACTGCTATCTTAAGTCAAAGATATATTTTCTTCACACCGAAACTTCACTCTCATTTTCAGAACACATGAAGCCATCTGCTGTATCCTTCCACGACACTGCTTTCAACTATAGCATTTCAGAGTTCCTACTTAATTTCTTTCTGTCCTAGTCAACAGTTCACAGTTTTCCTTTGAATCTAGCCTCTGTTCATTGTTTTTCTATTTGCCTTTTTGGTTTCAATGTTCCTTTCTAACATAGTCTTTCCCACAAACGTACTGCTTACACTGTGGCATAATTTTTGTAGCCACATTTTGTTTATGTAATTTTCATTCTCAAAACCGAACATGGATACTAGCTCTTTCTCTTCTTTATCTCAATTCAAAAACGTTTATTAGCACCTACTATAGAACATAAACACTGCTTCATATACCAGAAGGAACAAGAAGAGGAATGAAGTACAACTTCTACCTCAAAACACTTACCACCTAGTGATGGGGATTAAAACAAGGAACAGGTAACGTCAGTAAAATGTTCGATATAATCGAACATTATTAGCAAGATATAAACATGGGACATGGGAATGTTTGAAAGAGGAAGATTCATTTGAGAAAACAAAATGAATCAGCTCTGGACCTTTGATCATGGACTTCTGATCATCTCTTCTGCTATATGTATCCTTTCAAAATACTTTTCCATCGCTTGTTTCACAAAGCTGCATGCGAATGAAACCACAGCAGATTGCTTGGGCAAATTAACTTGTTTTGCAAAAGAGAAGACTGTCAGTTCAATCAGAGGACTGACCATTCACACTGGTCACTTATGCAAGAATCAGTGGTACTCACATCCTGGCACTGCCTTGACCTGTGTTTCCAAATAGAAAATTTGGACTGAAAAAATTATTGAGTCTAATTTTCAGGCTGCTGAGACTGAATCATCTCTATTATACGTGATTTTTCTGAATCTTGATTGCTCCCTTATTGTGTAGTTTTGCCTAATGTCTTCTAAAGTTTGAGCATTGCTGAAATCAACTGTAAAAGCAGACAGACGCTGCACTCTTATTTCCGTGTT